CATTTCCATCCTTAGAACATGACTTAAAAGCCTACAGTGGGAAGATATATTGTTTTGTATCTGCTAACTAATGCATAATTGAAACTAATTTGAAATCACTTTATTGGAGAGCATTTAGCTTCCATAGTGATGCCAACATTTGAAAAAAAATCAGAAGAATTGGATTTATGATGCTGTCAGTGGCAACATGGTAAACACTGTATTTTGGAAGCTAATTTCACATTTTTATTTTGTTTCTCAGTTTACAAGTGTACAAGCAGTCACAGATGGTCCATCAAGCCATTTGTTTACTGCTGTCAAAATGTTTCACATACACAAGAAAGTGTTCCTTTGCTGGAAGCAAGCCTTAGGATTTTCTACATTCCTGCAATAGTGGTTTGTTTCAGCAGCAGGTGGAGAATAATTGGCCATGTAGGTGCTGGTATCACAATAAACTGATCATATATATGGGACGATATGACTTTTTTTCAATATGATTTGACTCATGATATGGTGTGCATAATTTGATTTAATCAGGATCCAATTGACAATTCACTGACAACAATGTAGCTGCAGAACACTTGTAGTTTATTCATCTTTTTTCCCCTTTTCTAGCACTGGTTTGATTATGTAGAAAACAACCATATACTTGTATTCTGTTAAGCTATCTTATGTACAGAAATTATGAAGTCATTGGTGTATGGAGACCACATGACCTACATCGCTAGACAAAACAATATATATTGTTTGATGTTTTTGTATTGCGGTATATTGAATTTCGATATATTGTCCCATCCCTACTGATCAATGCTAACTGTTATAATGTACAGAGGAACTGAAAAGAAACAAAGAGACAGATGCAGTCACACAAACAGGCTGGCAGGCTGCACCATAGCCTGCCGCTTATATGTGAAGGGCTGTTGATAATGAATATTAGATGAAACTCTACTGAACCATATAGGACTGAATCAATATCCAGGTTTCATCTAACATGGCTAAACACTTCTAAGTCATTATTTTTACCCACCATCCTCTCTCACTTCAGCATGTAGTTTTCCCAACTGTGTATGTATATATAGTGTGTACTGTATTTGTCAATACTTGGTGCAAGTGGATTTTTTGGTGAGTAATGCCAAGACAGATTTAATAGGCCAGTGGGAGTTGAAGATAGTGACAATATCTACATGTAGCAAATACAGGTGGAGAGAGGGTGGCAGTCAAACAGCGAGAGAAAGAGAAAACTGAAGCAAGAGTGAAGCACATGCAGGGAGGAGGGATGACTCAGTATTTACCTCTTTGAAATTGCACCCTGGTCAAAAAGCTCTGGATTTGTGAAGAATGGCACACACCCACAGAGCCGCACAAACAACACCCGGTTCCCCCGTTTTTCAGTCATTATTCCAGGGTGATGGTTAAAGGAAATAAGACATGCAGTCAAGCCTCAGGGAGCCCTGCTTTTGTTTGGATTCAGGCAGGTAGAACCTCAGATGCTCAGAAAGGTGCAATTTTCAAATCAGTCTGGCCTCTCTGCTGTGAAAGGTCTCCAGTGTAGAGTCAATACTTGTTCTTCCTGTTCTAGTCTCCTACTTAAGAACCCAAAGTGTATTGACAATGTGCTGCTGTTGGATTGAAGGTTAGAGATATTCTTTTTGTGTGTGTATGTGTGTGTGTGTGTGTGTGTGTGTGTACGTAGCAAGTGCTCCTGCTTCCCCCAGGGAGATGATGGCGTTGAAGGAGAGGAAGGCAGACTATGAGTCGACTGGCAATGCCAGTTACCATGGCAACAAGGGCGAGCACACATCTCGGAAGGACACCATGACGGGTAGGAACTTCATACTGCATGTCTGAGACAAAAACACATGTCCATAAAACTGATGTATTCAGCTAAGTTGATAGCTTTGGAATAATTGACAATATAATCAATGTGTAGGTTTTACAAATATAAATGAATAGTTCAACATTTGTGACATTAGTTTTCTTGCAGAGTTTGATGAAGAAACAATACCAATTTCTTATCTGTACAGCAAATATGAAGCTGGAGCCAAGAAATAGTTAGCTTGAGAGTAATACAAAGACCAGCCTGTGTCTGTCAGAATGTAACACAATCCACAACACGTCTTCAGTTTACTAATTAATGTTTAATCTACCTTGTTAAAACACCAAGTGTGTGTGTTATAGATATAACAGTGGTATTGAACTTGTAACTATCAAGCATATTTCCAGAATGTCGAATTGTTTTTTTAGTGTTAACTTTTGTCAGTGATAGGAACAAATATTACAAATAGTCAATCTATCTGTTTAAGAATCCAAGCTCTTTAATTTATCAATTCAAATTAAAAATATAAATGAAATAGTTTGAACTCAAGTGCTCATGATGTTGTCTAACCTCACACAGCCCAGTTCATCTGATTAGACAGGAGTGTTGCTGAGCGCCTAACATAAATAAACCCTCATGTTCTCCTCTTTTGAATTTTACGTAGAGTGTCCTCCCGGGTCTGAGAGGACCGGAACAGAGTGAATGCGTATAAGTCATCATAAGTCAGCATACAGTGCCTTGCGAAAGTATTCGGCCCCCTTGAACTTTGCGACCTTTTGCCACATTTCAGGCTTCAAACATAAAGATATAAAACTGTAATTTTTTGTGAAGAATCAACAACAAGTGGGACACAATCATGAAGTGGAACGAAATTTATTGGATATGTCAAACTTTTTTAACAAATAAAAAACTGAAAAATTGGCCGTGCAAAATTATTCAGCCCCCTTAAGTTAATACTTTGTAGCGCCACCTTTTGCTCCGATTACAGCTGTAAGTCGCTTGGGGTATGTCTCTATCAGTTTTGCACATCGAGAGACGGAAATTTTTGCCCATTCCTCCTTGCAAAACAGCTCGAGCTCAGTGAGATTGGATGGAGAGCGTTTGTGAACAGCAGTTTTCAGTTCTTTCCACAGATTCTCAATTGGATTCAGGTCTGGACTTTGACTTGGCCATTCTAACACCTGGATATGTTTATTTGTGAACCATTCCATTGTAGATTTTGCTTTATGTTTTGGATCATTGTCTTGTTGGAAGACAAATCTCCGTCCCAGTCTCAGGTCTTTTGCAGACTCCATCAGGTTTCCTTCCAGAATGGTCCTGTATTTGGCTCCATCCATCTTCCCATCAATTTTAACCATCTTCCCTGCCCCTGCTGAAGAAAAGCAGGCCCAAACCACGATGCTGCCACCACCATGTTTGACAGTGGGGATGGTGTGTTCAAGGTGATGAGCTGTGTTGCTTTTACGCCAAACATAACGTTTTGCATTGTTGCCAAAAAGTTCGATTTTGGTTTCATCTGACCAGAGCACCTTCTTCCACATGTTTGGTGTGTCTCCCAGGTGGCTTGTGGCAAACTTTAAACGACACTTTTTATGGATATCTTTAAGAAATGGCTTTCTTCTTGCCACTCTTCCATAAAGGCCAGATTTGTGCAGTATACGACTGATTGTTGTCCTATGGACAGAGTCTCCCACCTCAGCTGTAGATCTCTGCAGTTCATCCAGAGTGATCATGGGCCTCTTGGCTGCATCTCTGATCAGTCTTCTCCTTGTATGAGCTGAAAGTTTAGAGGGACGGCCAGGTCTTGGTAGATTTGCAGTGGTCTGATACTCCTTCCATTTCAATATTATCGCTTGCACAGTGCTCCTTGGGATGTTTAAAGCTTGGGAAATCTTTTTGTATCCAAATCCGGCTTTAAACTTCTCCACAACAGTATCTCGGACCTGCCTGGTGTGTTCCTTGTTCTTCATGATGCTCTCTGCGCTTTAAACAGACCTCTGAGACTATCACAGTGCAGGTGCATTTATACGGAGACTTGATTACACACAGGTGGATTCTATTTATCATCATTAGTCATTTAGGTCAACATTGGATCATTCAGAGATCCTCACTGAACTTCTGGAGAGAGTTTGCTGCACTGAAAGTAAAGGGGCTGAATAATTTTGCACGCCCAATTATTCAGTTTTTTATTTGTTAAAAAAGTTTGAAATATCCAATAAATTGCGTTCCACTTCATGATTGTGTCCCACTTGTTGTTGATTCTTCACAAAAAATTACAGTTTTATATCTTTATGTTTGAAGCCTGAAATGTGGCAAAAGGTCGCAAAGTTCAAGGGGGCCGAATACTTTCACAAGGCACTGTAATCAAAGAAGTTTTAATCTGAAACAATGTAAAGCCCTACATAACAAAACATTTCAGAATTGTGTTCTTCATACAAAATGACTTAAGGTCTTAAAATGTGAGCCCGAAAAAATAATTAGAACTATTTTTTTTTTATATATAAAAAGTGAATCCGGTCCTCACAGACCCTGAAGAGAACACAACGGTAAAGTTGACCATAGTGTGACAACTGATGCAATGGTGATTCATGTTTACTTTATTGTTGTTGTTATCACCCTGGGTTTTTCTGACAACAGTGCCCTAAGTGGGAAACAATGAATTCCAAACCGTCCTTATTCATCATTATCATTTTCAGTGTTGTTCTTACTGAAACCTTGGTCACAACAGTTGCCCACCTAATACCACTCACAGCTCATGCTGTGGCAGTAATACTGTATGTCAATAAGTGGTTCATAGTGCACATTCATGTGAAGTCTTCATCCTCACTGTCTCTGTATAGGTCAGATCTCCAGTGGTTCCTCAACACTACACAGAGGAGCATACGTGTCACCTACTGATGAGCTGAAGTATAATCAGGTACAAGAATCCTTTCTCTTTGTTATGCATTTTTAACCACAAACTGTATTGGGCCAATGTTGTGCCCCCAGTGTTGGTCATAAAGTACTGGTCCTGTTATTGAGACAGCTACTACTAGCAATCTCACTCCCCTTTTTTATGTCATGACTCACTACTACTAGCTGTCATTTGAACAAGCTACTAATTGCCAGAAGAAGGCATTAGTCATAGAACTAAATAAGGAGAGCAGTAAACAAAGGGGGGGAAACAGAAAACACCAAATGCAGGTTGGTTATTACATCTGAACTTAGAAGAAGTTCTTGTTCTTCTGTTTTTTCTTCTTTTACCTCTTTATGAGTCATTTGAGAGTAGGAATTCCTGTACAGAAAACTTGCACATCTAGATAGAAATAAAATAGCACAACAAGACTTAAGGGTCCACTCTGAATTGTATGGCTTTTAATGGTGATACCGTAAAGATACTATTAAGTCTGCAAAGGTCACTTCTAAACCAAAAAGCTATATAGAGCCCCATTTAAACAATGTTGGAATCCTGCAGTGGAGTTTTCTCAGGGTCTGGCATTCAGTTCTAATTCCTTGTTGCTAAAAGCTTTTCATATTACTTCTCACACCCTTTGGCAGTGGTATCCAAGACTGATACCCTCTGAGCTTGTTGTAAAGCAAAGGTTAAAGACATTTACTGCCTCAAAGCAACCTAAATTTAGGAACACATCTGTATTATAGACCAATTGCTGGTAAACGGTATCAACCTGACCTACACTAAAATAGCGGCTGCAAATTCAGACTTGTTTTACTGTAAGTGGCAGACTGATGTCAGTTTTGGTGGACCATACTGTACATTGTTAAATCTAAAACATGATCCCCTGTGGCCAGAGTCGAGAAGATCACTTTCAAAATGTAATAGGTTACATATCGCTAGTTACTCTGTTGAAAATGTAGTAAATTGTGCAAATATTTTAATTACTTTATCACGGTAATGTAACTTATTACTTTTTCATTACTCTCCTAAAAATGTTTAAAACCAAACAATAAAGCTGAAAAGTCCTACCATAATTTAAACCAGGCAGTCTGAACCTCACAACTGTAATCGACACTTATTACTGTCAGTTTTATTACGCTACATAATATATTACTGTTGAAACACATTGCCTACTGAACGCGCACCAAGAAAAAACCCTTTCTGATTTCAGAAGGAAAATACTGTTGAATTTCCACCACTAAAAGTCAGTTCTTGTGCCACCTGCTGTTGTGGGCAGGTCGCAGTCAGGCCTGGTAGACTCAGGCTAATTATTGCAGTGCACATTGATTTGATTGACAGATGAGAGGTGGTGCAAAGTCAAATGCAACAAATGAATCAAAAGCAACATTCAAAATTTTATGCACACTGCCAAATGAATGGAGCCTATTTAGATGTAGAGACAGCTCCTTGTTAGCCATCCTACCCATGATAGTGTTGCACTTAAATTTGTTCCAGCATCTTTACTGAACTGCGTTGTCCGGAAATATACCAAAAGAAAGTGTTCCTGCATGGTGGAAAAATGCAAAGTAGCAGAATAAATGTTTATTCTAAGCTTTTTTAAGAAAAGAATATATTCAGATGTGACTCCTTTGTAATCACCAACATTTTGATTAGTAACTGATTTTATTACATATTTTTTTAATTTAATTACAGTAACTAGTTACTTCCCAACACTGCTAGTTTTTTTTCTGTTCTGATTAATCACCTAACCATTTGGTCTATACAGTGTCCATATAACAACAAAACAAAAAAAAGTCAGAAATGCGCATCACTTTTTCTCACAGCTCAAGTTGACATATTCAAACTGCTTGTTTTGTCCAATTTATCACAGAAGACAGAAAATACACATAACATCTGAAAAACCAGAAACTTTTGTTTCAGCTCTATGGCATAGTTTAATATGATACAGTGTTTCAAATTCACTGCAGGTATTTAATTCTAGCCATTTTATACATCTGGCAAATGTCCAACTATCTGGTATATTTTGGTGGAAAACATTATGAATATAGCATTACTAATATTCATGAGAACATTACCTTGCTGTTAACCTATGTGGCAGTGACTGATCTTGGACACACAGACCATTGGTATGTATACCAGTGGCTAACATTAGCAGTCACATTATTTTATTTAAAAACTTATATACATGACATACTGAGTTGATGGTGGACTTTCTAGAGAGCTACAGTATATACTCCAAGGCTGTGCTAGTTGGTGGACAGTCAGCAAATCCCTCCAAGCTGCAGCCTAGTGCTACCTGAGTGATGAAATTATAGCAACAAGTCATGTAAATACAGTAGTTTTTCAATGAGTAATTTGTACAGGGTAACTGATTACAGTTTTCAAGTAACTTTCCCAACACTGTTACTAATGGCCATCATTATGATTTGACTGTGTTTTCTTGCCTGTAGCTGCATGCACGTCTTCGCGTCTTTTTGATTCTTTGTTAGCATTTAGCATGATTAGCAGAGCCAGTGGACTTCACTCCATGAAATTTTGGACCTAGCCATTAGAATCTTTCTTTAGGCTCACTAATAATTTTTGCTCTTTTGGCAGGTCTCTTCTCAAGGCTTGCCTTCAGAGCCCTACCCTCCATTCCAAAACCCTCCCCCACCTGACAGTGGCAATTACGAGGACCAGTCCTTCTACGAGAACCAGGTTCATACGGGAGGACGCCCCCCGCAGGGTGAGCTCAACATGCACCTGCAGGGCCTCAAGTCCACTGGCAACTATGTGGACTTCTACTCAGCCTCACGTCCCTACAGTGAGCTCAACTATGAGACCAGCCACTATCCAGCCTCACCAGATTCATGGGTCTAAGGGGAGACAAAATTGGAGGAGGAGGAGAGGATGGATGAAGGAATAAAGTACAGTGAAGGGGGTAGTTTAAAAGTAGAAAAGAGACGATGAGAGGACACTTTCCCTCCCTCCCCATCCTCCCCTGTAGTTCCTGAGTAGCATCATAGGTAGCAGGACGACAGAGGGGGAGGATGGAGTGCAAGATGGGAGACATGAGGAAAAACATCTAAGACACTACACTCCTTTCAGAGACATCTGATGGAGAAGAGAGAGGGGACAAATGAGGTTCAGAAGCAAGGAGAGGAGTGGCCACGCATGTGCATGAAGACCACCAACAAAACAACAGACACATTTTATTTCTGTGTTTAGTTTGTGCTCAACAGCTGCTAGAGAAGGTTCAACAGACAGAAAGACCTCCTGCACCTGAAGGCCTCTGGATACAGAACGTAAGATGGATGATGAAAGAGAAAATGAAGGAAAAGCATGAAAGAAAAAGCAGGAAATAGAGTTACATGAAGAAGGACAATGAAAGAGAAAAATGGTTCCGAGGACTCAAGGACAGAAGGTTGTGGGTCATAAGTGGAAGATGGAAGAGATACCAGGGAGAAACCTGTAAATATGTGGTATTGCAACATGGCTTTTAGTAATGTGAAGCACAAGAAGCAGAGCTGTAGGACATGTAGGATGTCTGTCACACAAACATTTGTTTCTCTCTATGGCTTCAGTGTAATGTATCCTCCTCTGGACAAAAAATGCTTCTGGACTTTGTCATTTGTAATAGTTTTTTTTTTTTTTCTTTTCTTTTGCTGAGTTTCTACTTTTTTAATTCTCAATTCTGGTTGTATAGTATTTGATGTACACTGTACATTTACGGAGACCCATTGTATACTGTACATTGAACTATTTTCTGTGTTATGTCAGGCTTTTTGCCACTGGATCCACCTCACTTCCTCACTAACTACCCGGCCCCAAACACACACAAATACATACAGTATCTGCACCCAGACTTTCAGGATTCATCAGAGCTACAGACAGATGTCGGCACATTACTTATGTGAAACACTGGACATGACCTGGGTATCGAAGCATCATTTCTGGTAGGACACGGTGCTCCTTTTACTGCCCTACAGATAGTTTTCAAAGGATACTCGACAGTGCTGCTGCCAAAATAGTTGAAGAGAGGTTCTAACAGTTGAGCAGCCTTTTCTGTGACAAAACTCTCATTTTTTTGAGACTAGCTTTGGTGTTTTTAGTGGCTGTTTTTTCATATTAATACTAAAAGTTCCATTTTTGTTCCCACAAGCCCTCCCTACAAGTGAAGTGTATATAATTGTGCCAAACAAAGGTTACTCCCCCTTAGCTGAAGAAGGCAGGGCAGTTAGGGGCATGTAAAAGGGTCCAAGTTCAGCTGAAACCTTCAGCTGAACACCTTCACAGTTCTAACAATGCTAGTTTGTAAATGCTTTGGTTTTTCTAAACTGTGTTTTAATGAGTTGAACGTGTCTAACTGCACCAGGACTGTTGAGAAAAATTTTTGAAGATTAAAAAAGACACCACGGAGGAACTGTGACTGGGTGGAACCTTGCTTCCTCCACGGTTGTACAAAATTAGTTGATTTCTGTGTTGTAAAATAATCAATGTTTGAAGTACAAAAAAAACAACTTTTTCTGAGAGATGGGTGGCAATTCTAACTTCACGGTAGACAAAACTGCTAATAGAGTATGGATATATATTATATAAATATATACTTTTTATGTGCAAATGTGGATGTCACTTATAGCAGCAACATTATGGGAAACGGTGTAAAAAAACAGCTACATGTAGAAATTTTGTTCACATTCTTTTTCTGGTCAACACACTAAATTGTCAACTTTGTGTAGTAATGTTGTTGCTAGGTGGAGTAGAGTAGACCAGGGTCCAGGGATCCATGTTGTCACTAAAGGAGTCCAAACAGGTGCTACATCCATGAGAAGTATTTCCAACATCTGTATTTTAACTGTGCACGAAATGTTGCCCCCCCCCTCCTGCATACAGTAGATAACAAACTTTATTATCAGTTGTTAAGTTTGTTACATGTCACATGTGACTGTTTTAAATCACATAACAGAGAACAATCACAAGTTTAAATCTTTCCAAAAGTGTGTTTCCCATGCATGAAACCCCCAGTTCTGGTCAATTGGTCTTATCATGCTAAACAGCAAACCTTGTACCCATGAATGCATTAGTATTTGTTATTGTTAACCTGAAACTAAATGGTGATTTTTTATTTTATTTTATGCAAGTGTGAAAGGCTAAATTGTAAAATGTGACAACAGACCCTGGTTCTCCCTGCCCACTGCTGTTTAGACGTGCTAGAGGTCATCTCCCGATGCTTGAAGAACAACTCATAATGTCCCTACAGATACACTGGATGAAAAACAGATGTACTGTATTTGTTAGTAAGCATCTGAAAACTGACAACGTTATGTATGTCCTTGTGATCCTTAGGCCAAAAAACCTGAGTATAAGACCTGTATGGAGATAAAACGTCGTTAACCTTTTTGTTGATAGACCAAATGTGTTTTAACAAGAGAATTGTGAATCTTTCTATTGCCTCAAACAAATTGCAACTGCTCCAAAAACTATAAACGGACCATCAAAGAACCTCTGACCTTGGGAGTTGTTTGTCCTGTTGAGTTGTTGGTCTTGTGTGTTAATTACAGCTTCACTCTTTTCTTATTGTTTTTGTTTTGTATTATTTTGTTTTTCTATCCCTAATATCCCTAAATCAAGTCCAGGGTAAAAAGAGGTAAAGAGAACTAATTAGGTTTAACTTTGGACTTAGAAAAGTTTAAAATGTTAGAGGTACTGTGTAGGAAACAATGAGTTACCCTAAATATTACATTATACCCTAACAAGTGCTCTAACCTGTCTGCTTGTTATGTGTGATGTAACACTCCACTTCTGGGTCCAAACTCCCCCAGACTCAAATAGTGGAGCCTGTCATCCTTTACATAATAACAGCTTTTTTCTTAGTGAGGCATCACTGAGTGAAAAATTACATTCTTTTAATCCAGAGTAGTTAGTGTTGCCATTCTGCCTGGTGGCATAATAACCAAACTTTATTACATGTAGACTTAGTAGTGAATTTATTCCAATATATAGCCTTTATTGAGTTATATATCTAACTCAGGTGCAGTGATTAGCGCTGCTGCCTTACAGCAAGAAGGTTCCGGGTTTGAGCCTAGGCCAACTTGGGGCCTTTCTGTGTGGAGTTTGCATGTTCTTCCTGTGCCTGCATGAGTTCTCTCCAGGTACTTCAGCTTCCTCCCACAGTCCAAAGACATGCAGCTTAGATTGACTGGTGACTAAATTGCCCGTAGGAGTGAGTTTGGGTGTGTGTGGTTGTCTGTCTCTTAGTGTCAGCCGACCTGTCCAGGATGGACCTCACCTCTCGCCCAACATCAACTGGGATTGGTTTCAGCCCCCCGCGACCCTCATTAAGATATCCAGTATAGATAATGAATGGATGGATGTCTAACTCATTTTTAATAGTTCCCAGCTTTTATTGTTACTTTCATCAGTGTAAAATTTGTCAATGTAGTGTTTATGGTAACTTCATGCTAACTAGCTAGCTACATTACAAGACAGCAAAACTGAGCACTTTTATAAGCTTTATTTCATTAATTTAACAATATTGTGACTTATCTAATCAACTGTAACCATTTCTTTCGCCCCTTCTCATCACAAGGGAAGTGGTGAAATGACAGTTGACCTGTGATTTTTGATTCAGATCTACTGAAGCAATGGGGAAAACAACATTGTGGCCTATGGAGAGGAGGAGAACAAACCGAAGTTTAGACCTGGAAACAGAGTGTTACATCACCACTTAAAGAACTGTGGAGCTAGAACATATGGAATTTAATGCAGCATTAGAATAAGTATTTGTCATGTAAACACTAAGCTGTACTATGATTTTTAAATAATTTTCATTTTTATTATTAAACAACAAAATATAATGAAACAAAACAAGAAAACCAAGCAAAAAGCTGTCAGACGATTCAAAAGAAAATGACTGTGCCCCCTTTTAGGTCCCTAACAACAAGGAATATGGGCATAACTAGGTATTGCTATTGCTCATAATACCATTTTGCCAAACATGCAAGGAGGCATTATTACAGATATCAGCAAGATCCTCGTGCCTATTGGACAATATTGCACACTGCCAAAATGGCCTCCAAACACTCCAGGTTGTGGTTTTTGCCAGTGGTGGAAAAAGTACTCTAGATTGTTGCTTAAGTAAAAGTAGATATACTGCAATTAAATGCTCTGTTACATGTAAAAGTTTATCCATCCATCCATTGTCTATACCGCTTATCCTGAAGCGGGTCATGGAGGGGCAGGAGCCAATCCCAGCTGACATCCTGTCTATTACAGGACTGAAATTTAGAGACAGATAACCACACACACCGACACACTCCTACGGGCAATTTAGAGTCACCAATCAACCTAAGCTGCATGTTTCTGCCAACATGAAGCTTTCTCTGCTACACTGTTGATATCACAAATGGCTCTTTGTTTTCCTTTACCTTCAATGCCCAGCCAGCCAGCGAGCAGTCTGCAAACACTCTGTACCCGACTTTGAAAGGCAGACACCTAGCCTTCTATCCTACTTGACTGCACAGGCTGAGGAGATCATTATATATAAAGTGTACCCCAAGTGGTCTTCCTATGACACTGTCAACTCAATAAGGATGACTTGCTTGGTGTTTTATGACCAGAGGACCAGCTCTGTGAATAAGGTGGTACTTATGATGTATTGCAGGAACCTGAGTTGTTTCTCTAGGTCTGCAGCCAGTTTCCAATCCCCAGCTGATGACAAGACACCTATGGCTCTTCTAGCAATGGGTGGTGCTCCAGGTCTGACAAAGTTGATCAGAGCTTTAGGGTGTCATATCTTGGAGTTTGCCTGCAATCTTGCCTTGATGACCTGTGCTTCGGAACCTTATCATGATACCACCGATAGCGGCCATTGGCTAAAGCCTTGTGGCAGCTGTTAAGAACATGTTTTAGAGTACCACAACCTGAGCACAATGGGCAAACTGCTGTTTCTTCTTTTCCCCATGTTGCCTCATTCCCACAGCTGTTGTGGTTCTTGCTTCTTCCTCAGCTGCCTGGACCTAGGCTTGCACCAGGTGCTGACTCTCTTTCTCTCTGCTGTGTCACAGCCTTTCATTGGTTTGCTGGAATGTTTCTTCCTCACCTCTTTTCCAGATCTGGCTACTTTAGGGTCCCTAGACTGTTGGAACTGCATAACTTCCCTGGACTTTAAATTCCTCTTCCAAAGACTTGAATGAAAGTGTCAGACTGTTGCTGTTACCATACAGTACAATGTTATTCATGGACCTTGGTAACCCAAGCCATCTCCTGAGGTGGCTGCTCACTTTCCTCTTCAGAGCCTCCACTCTTGAGATTGATACTTTGTACACAAGCAATAGCCACATGATAATTGGGAGGTATAACCAGGCTTTCCCAATTTCCCAGGAAGGTTAATTTGGCACATGCAGCTTGGAAGGATGACGTGTCTCTCAGAGTGTTGTTAAAATCTTTCTGAAACTCTACACTGGTTTCTCTGAGAGGGTTGGTGTGGTTGAACCATTGATGGTGAAATGGAAGGAGTCCATCAACTTTCCTCTTTTTAACAAACAGGGACGTTCATTTTGCCATCTTGAGGGTCATTTGGGCCCATCTCACCAGAATTTCAAGACCCCGCAGAATCCACCTGTATCCTGGCACAGACTCTATGGAAACTGTCAAGTCATCCATGTAAGCCCAAATAAGTGGCTGCCGTTGGCCTGGGTTTGTTTTGGGACCACTGCATTCAGGCCCTGCAGCTTTTACAATCATGTACATTGCCAGAGAGAAAAGGATAAAGAAATGGTACAGCCAATTATTATGCTCCCTCTACCTTGTGCCAGGTAGATGTTATGCTTCCAGATGAGACCCTCATGCTGAAATTGCTGTAATAGCCAGCAATGAGAAAACACGAAATAAAGGAGATAGAGAACAAGATAACAGAAAGATGGGACTCAAGACCAAAATGGATTTGTGTACTAAAGCCCTGTGAATTATGTTGTTTAAGTCCAATGAATTTTCATGAAACAATAACAGGCAAAAATTCAGTTCTGATGGATTACCTACTGTATTTCTAGTTCATTTTACACCATTTAGGATTAACAAAAGTAAAAGTCATAAATCAATGTTTTAACCTCCAAGATAATTAGATTAGCATTTGACTACATTAGGTTGCTTTGCATAATGCATCAACATGAACAAAGCATGTTATGAAAATGGCCCACATTTTTATGCTGTAGATGTCATGTAAAGATGTTGGTTCTTTCCTCGAACAGGGGCTGAAAGAAAGTTTTCCAGCGCCTCAAGGCAAGGAGAGAAACAGGAAACTTTTGAACCTGAAAACTGTGAAATTTAATCATAAGGCCCATCTTGAAATTATCTCTAATGGCATTGTGTGTACTTGTATATATATAAATATATATATATACACATTATATTGCTACAGAGTGAGGACATTTTGCACGGCCCTCACTGTCTGAAACAGCTTTTTGAGGGTTAAGAATTGGTTTTAGGGTTCAGGTTAGAATTTGGTTTAGGTTAGGTGTTAGAGGAATGGTTATGGTTATGCATTTAGTTCTGATGGTTAAGTGTTAGGGTACTGGGCTAGGGAATGCATTATGTCAATGACTGTCCTCACAAATATAGAAGTACAAGCATGTGTGTGTGTGTGTGTGTGTGTGTGTGTGTGTGTGTGTGTGTGTTGCACATAAAAGTGTGCAGGTAAGTACCCAGAGGTGTGGCCATGCCTGTACACACCTGTGAGCATGTGTTTATCTTAATGCTACATGCAGCTGTATCAACTTTTAAAGGGTCACCAGTGCACTCTGGTAGTCATTACAGCAACTGCAATACAGGTCAGGGTGGCAGCCATTTTAGTTTGTGAGGCTTGTTCTGCATGACTATATAGATACAGTAGATCACCACACCACAGGCACAGATTTTGTCTGTGAGAGCAGGGGTTAAGTCACATATTTTTTATTACACATGCACTGTAGGAGCACAGAGCAAAGCAGGGGTGAAGTGTCAGTCACAATTCCTCAAATTAGAGGTTGTCTAAAGTGCATCTATTTCCTTATCTCAGGTACAACACAAATATTTTTGCTGAACATCTACAGTTAAAAACAATGTGCAGCATCTAAAGCTGCCTTCCTTTGAGCATACAATTATCTCTGTATCTGAGGTAATAACACAGAAGACATCTGTGACATGTTCCACCTCATTATATCAGCCAAATATTGGGAGGCAAGCACCCCAGTATGAATTAGGGGACCCAAAAAAATATTTTCACAGTATTCATATGGCTCCTAGGCCAGACCTTTCTAAATGGTTCTGTTGGCAGCAACTAAGATTTAGGTGAATTCAGATATTCCTGTAGTGATTAAGTAGTCCGAGATCTAACAATTAGGCTACAGTGCACAAAACCTATCCAGAATGTGCAGATATTTGAACCACAGACATCATCCTTGAGAAAATAGTAAATCATTTTGTATTTACAATGACATATATTTCAGGTCATGGACAGATTGAACAGTAATTCAGGCTGGAAATTTGACTCCATCCCAGGCCGTCCTGTTCAGCAAAACAGCTGATGACAAATTTTGTAGGCTAACCCTATTTGATGACGTAATGAATAACAAACTAGTTATAAGCGACAGAGAATGGGTTGGACTGTGGTGTCTGACTTCTGCTGTCCACTAACAGAGCTATGGCTAATGTTAATGCTTTAGTAACATGCTTTAGATGTTTTTAAAACCCATGATAATGTGTCCTGAGTTAATGACTGGGCACATCCAGGGGACCGGAGACTCCATCCACAGGTGGTCAAGGACATCTGGTGTTGCTTTGGGAGGGTGGCAGTCATCCAGTTCACCTTCAGCAAGTCCTTTCTTTTCCCCCCCATGAAGAATGACCACCCACCCATAGAGCGGGATGCTCTGCCTTACCTGTGGCCACAGGCTTTGAATTTTCACTTCTCCAGCCACTTCTTTGGAGGGATCAGATGGTTGATGGCTCCTTACTGACCCCGCATGACATGATTGTCAGCGACCTGCTGTCTCAGACAGAAGGGGCAATGTTCTGAACTTGCTCCTTGACATGCTCCCTACTGCTTGCTGAGATTGCACTGAGAGAAGCCAGCTCAGATTCAATGTATTTGTGACCTTATATCTTTTATCATGATGATTTTTGGCTAGATGGAAGAAGATGCTTTCTAGAGAGATTTTAGTGAAAAAATCACCCTATGACTATGAAAGCATACATGCATTATAGAAAAATATTATAATGACTGTATTAATATTAAAGTGATTTTTCAGCTGGGCAACCTCAGAGCATCACAAACAAGTTTAGTGTAAGTCACAGTAAAATAGATTGTCAATGAAAGGTCATAGAGAAAGACAAAACAATAAGAGGCTTCATTCCAAATTTGTGCAAAATCTACAAGATATGTCTCCCTGAATGACCGTGGTGCATGGAGTTGGCCTATAAGCCCTTTATTGTATTTTATCTTACAATATCCCTAGTCAAAAATATATACATGCAGCAATATTTTTTAGATATATCAGAGGAAATGTATATGTAATTATACACAACTGATGGTAAGTTAAGGTACAAACATGTTCTATATCAATATTCAAGTTTGAAATATAGTATACTATATTACTATACTCTGCTGGAAGTAAACCATGAGGTGACATGTACAGTAATCGTCAGATCATCATCAGATTCAATTTAATGAATTTGGTATGTAGATCTAGTTTTATTTTTCCTTTGTGTTATTGCTTTAAGTCAGCTATGTAGTTAGTAAATGAAATGCAGCTTACTGAAGTGACTCAATATTTGTCTCCTGTTCTGCTACATAAGAGTTCCAGTTTATGGCAAAAAAATGTAAAAAGAGCCATCACGAGAGGCTTTTACTATGGGTCAGTCCAGACACGTTCAGTCCAGGTGACAAGTCAAAAACTGAAATCATGGTTACTTACCAAAGCGGGTACCAAAGTTTTACATGACAGATCAAATATTAAAAGGACCATTTAGTGAAAAATGTCCTGTACATGGCTCACACCCTCACTTTAGCATTTTGTTTATTTATTCATTTATTTTTTGTATTTGCTGTGAGTGGCACTAACTCACTGGCTCCTGAAGGGAAGGCTAAACCAGAGAAAGGTGTGAACAGTTTTGTTCTGATTCCTATCGGTTACCTCTATAAAGCAAAAAAAAAAAAAAAAAAAAAATAAAATTAAAAAACGAACTAATTTTCTCCATATTGCGATTCATTTGATACTTTCCTGAGATTTTGTAGAAATATATTGCTCCAGTTACTATAGTGTGATTGTACTGTATTTTGTAAAAGCTCTTCTAAATGGCCACCCACCCTTACTTCCATAGCAATGCAAAAATCAAATATGTGTGTACTAACATGGCACCAGCTAATGATGAATCTCTTGTACTCACAGTGCAAGACTCAACAATATCATGAGATTATTTTGGAAGACAACAAGTCACAGTAAAGTACTGAGCTATGTTTTTGGCTTTGCCTTTCAATGCTCCACAACCCCTGAAAAAGTTGTGATGTGATCTTGAGCTCAGCTGTCAAATACTGATCATGAACTCCTTCCTTCTTTGCAAATGCATGCTGTACCAAGGACCAGTGTTAAATGAGTTCCTGGTCTTCTCCTGCAGCAATCTGTAGCCAGCCACACGTTTTTATTTGGATATGCTGGCTCTTCTCTTCATCCTGTTGAAACAGTTCCACTTCCTGACTTTTCAAGCCCTATTTCTGGCCTCTTCATTTTCCTTTCTGGTAAATTTTACTGTCAAAATTCATTTTGTTCAACCATTTCATTTAATCATTCCATCCAAATTAGCATGGCCTTTTGTCGTGTTGCTTTTTTGTCTTTTTTTTGTTGAACTGTTTTCCCTCCTTTAATAATCTTTGCCTCTTCTTTGTTTTTGTTTGATCCAGTCAAGCATCTTTTCCCTTCTTCTCTCAAGTACTCCCATTTTTCTAAAGGTCATGACATTTTTCAGAATTTTCAGCAAAAGCAATGCATTTTCCAAATAGCCATAGTGTGAAGGTATCAGTAGATACTGTAATGACCCCCGGCGTGGAGGAGAGAGACTAGCTATACTGGAACAGCTAACTAGCTAGCAGGGCGCCAGCACCCATGCCGATCTCAGTTAGTGACTACTCCAGGTCCCATACACCGCACGACTCTGGATAGCGCTTGGGCGTGTCCTTTACAATGACCACCATGCAACACTGACTTCTTGGTCATTTATTTAGAACTCCTGAACAGATCAGAACAGGTAAGTCAGTAAGATCAAACAACAACAGGGTAACACATAAGAACACTAACAGTAATTTTATAACTGCTCTCTGAACTAATTACTGAACTCCCATGATGCCCCCATGCATCATGTCGCTGCCACCAGACCCCTCCCCAATAGCCGACGTAGGTCGCCACACAACCCCCACCCAAGAGGGTTAAGTGTCCCCACAACCCTCAGTCCATAACAAAACCCCGCAGTCTCTCTGGCTGGCGTCGGATGCGTCCCGGCTTCCTAGGGTCAGTACCCCAGTACTATCCTTCTGCTCAAGTCCCTGAGGCTCTCGCCTATGCCGGGGCTGGGTGACGTCCAACATCACCTTCCACTGGGCCTCGGGGCCGGGTACACCACCCTCCGCTGGGCCTCGGGGCCAGGCAGTTTCTAGCAAGGTGCCCCGGCTCGCAGCAGCGGAAACAACGGCTGGGCTCACCACATGATCCTCCGTCAGCTCCTCGGCATCCTGCTGGGCAGCTAGTGGAACCAGGGGGTGGTGGGGCGTACATCGGGTGGGGCTGACTACAGACTACAACACCTCCTCGGCCCACTCTGCCTCCCTCAAAGCCTCAAGGGATGACGGTGTGGTGAGCCGTAGGCCCCACAGATGGACCTGCAAGCTCAGTTCCTTGATGACACAAGGTGTGAACGTCGGGTGTCCTTGTCTGGCATACCGCTGCACATCAGCCGCAAAGGCTCCCAGGCTCTCCCCGTCCCTGCCGGGTCGACCA